AGAATCAAATTTAATATAATAAATATCTGAGTTAAGATATTAGAATTAATATGAATTATATTTGATGACAGCGGAAGAGATGCACAAAAGCCTTTTGTAACCAACTGATACACTTTCTACAGTATGAAAAGAAGGAGGATTTGTATGTTTGTTTTGAAAATAAATTTAAAAAAAAAACAGAATCAAATTTAATGTGGTAAGGAGAAGCTGGCAAGGAAAGATTTAGTGTGAAAATTGGCCAGATCCACCCAGGAGCTATGGATTAAAAAAACACCACCACCAAACAAACAGGAAATAAATCTTCTGCCAATTTATGGGAAAAGTAGCCAACAAGTTGCTGCTACTCTACTTGAAGCGCCTTGCTCCCTCCTGAATCATGGGATTCGGCACTAAAGAGAAAGAGTCCCAGGAGTTTATGCTACCTGGTTTTTTTGTAAAGGGCATTGGCTCCAGTAGTGGGATTCAAATAATTTAACAACTGGTTCTCTGCCCTAATGACTGGCTGGGTGGGCATGGCCATGGTGGGCATGGCCAGGAGGTGTGATAGGCAGCACGTGGCCTCCTGCACGCCCCTGGGAACAAAAACAGGTTGGGAGGGGGTATTGCTGTCCCCCACACCCCATTTTGGGCCTAGTAGGCCTCCCTGCAGCCTCATGCAAGAAAAAAAAGGCCACAGGGGTACCGCAAGGGATCCCCTGGCCCTGTTTGGGCCCTAGTAGGCCTCCCTGCAGTCTCCTGTGAGAAAAAAACAGGCTGTGGGGAGACTCCTGGAAGGGGCCTTGCAGGAAGGGGCGGGACCAGCCAGTAATTTAACAACCAGTTTGCCCAAACTGGCTGAATCCCACCACTGATTGGCTCCAAAGAGCTAAAAAGCCACTTAGCTGATTTAGGCAGGTATAGAAATTGAATGAAAATAAAAGTAAATAAAATAAAGAACTACTCTGCACCTTGTTTTTGGAATTGATCTGTAAGATCCTTTTTAAACAAAAATGTGGAAAAATGATTTACATAAATGGACATCTTTTATATTGAAGCGGGGAACATATTTGGAAGCCCTTTCTCCATTTAAATGTTAAACAGGAGACGAGAGAGAGCACCACGTCCTACAGCACTCCACATAGAATGTAGTGGCTGGGCTTCTGTCCTATGAACCCTGGCTGGAAGCAGACTTAGAAGGAAGGAGAAGGGCCAGCACAATATGGAGCTGCCTACTCTCAACCACTGAAGCTGGCCAGAAAAAGACCATTATTTATAGTATCAAAAGCTGCTGAGCGGTCTAGAAGAGCAAGGTCAAGTGCACCACTTACATCCTACTCCCACTGGTCCTTAGAGGTCTAGCCATCCCAGAATTCTCGTGATCACTTGATCATAAACTAGGTGTTCAGCCAATTATCAAATCTCCCACAATCATGTGATCACAATCTTGCAATTTGCAACCTTCTCTGTTGGCTTCCCCAAAAAGTCAGTGGGGAGGATGCTTGTGCTTTGTGCTTCTACTGCGCCAGCCACTTGTACCCCTGCAGACCCTCCCCAGCCCATGCAGCACTTCTTGGTACCCCCTCACACCCTTTCTGTACCCTCCCTTACATCCCCATACACACCCTTGCTCTCTCCCACACCAAACAGCAGTCACCTGCCTGTGGGCCTGGGATGTGCAACTTCCTGCCAATTTCTCCAACAACTTTGGTTGTAGCAACCTAGCAGAAAGTTCCCTTGCCTAACAATATCTGCCATTGCTAATCAATATAAGGTAAAGGTAAAGGTTCCCTTCACACTTATGTGCTAGTCGTTCCTGACTCTAGGGGACAGTACTCATCTCTGTTTCAAAGCCGAAGGGCCAGCATGTCCGAAGATGTCTATGTAGTCATGGGGCCGACATGACTAAACACCGAAGGGGCATGGAGCGCTGTTACCTTCCCACCAAAGTGGTCCCTATTTTTCTACTTGCACTTTTTATGTGCTTTCAAACTGCTAGGT